CCCAAACCCAAACCCAAACCCAAACCCAAACCCATTAAATATTATGAATTAATTATTTTATTTTTAGAAATTCGCCTAAATATGAATCGAATATGAAAACGAAAATTTAATAATACAATAACTTTTAAAAATCAATTTAATGATAGTTTACTGTAGTCATGCCTTATTATTCTTAATCATGATTTTTAATGTCCTTCTAATTGTACTCTTAGATGAATGAAGGATGAAAACTCAATAGTAACAATTTCCATATTATTAGTTGCTCAAAAGCATTTCAAATTTTTTATCATTAAAGTTGTAGAATTAAATTTTTTTTTTTAAATGAGCCTCTTGAAAAACTCAAATCTATATAAAATCATTAATTTTCCATTTTCTTACATTCTTTGACATTCTTATTATTTATTCCCCTTCTTTATATTATTAATTTATTAATAAGTTTTAGAAATAAATAACATTCCTTTTTGAATCATTCACTGGACCAAATATTCATGGCTTGGGATTTCCTTTAAAATTCTGACTTATTGTAATGAAATTTTATCCTCCCAGTATAACTCCTAATGTTTTCAAATATTAAAGGTGTTTCTATTCAATAATATGTTCTTTAAATGTTATACATCTGAGGGAAAAAATAAGTGTAATCTTTAACAATTCAAAGAAAAACTTTAATAATAAATATCTTTAAATTAAGATAACAAATCTTAATGAATTACATAGAAGAATGCCAATAATAATACCAATCATAATGTTATTTGAATTAGGTAATATCAAACAATCTTTTGATATACTAAACTCATTCTTAATTTCGAATAATTGATTATTTCCTTTTTCTGTTAATTCATGAATATTTGTAAATTTATTAGATAATATCATCATTTAATTAGATTATTCTAAATTATGTATCTAGTATATTTTATTTTCACATAATATGAAATAGGAAAAAATAAAATAATTGGGTTAATGATATTGTTAAGTTTATCTTTAGCTAAATACAAAAAAGATTATCTACTTTTAATTTTACTCTATAAATCTTATTAATAGTTATTTTTGGTTCAAGGTATAAATATTTCTTTGTTTGATTCTAAATTTTTAAGTCTGATACCAGTGTTTGCTGCCAAAACTAACAAAGATGAATCATCAGAAATAGAAAAATCATTAATATATTAAGGATCCTGATTTAAATATTTATCTAACATCATTAGTTTGTATCCATATTTTAAACCAAAAGCTAATAATTTATCATATTGTATTGTTAAATGAGAGGAGAAAGTATATCTTTTTCTATTATATTTCATCTGATTCTTAATCACTATTTAACTAATCTTTGAATAAATAAACACTTTCTCCATCAACAATAAGCATTTAATGTTTGTCTCAAAATATTCAATCTTTTTCATTTTATTTTAGAGATTTCATTTCATGATATGTTACTCCTTTCATTTTATTTATCATCTAATTATAAGAATTATAGAATAATTTCTTTTCAATTTTTGATTTACTATTGAATAAAATCAAAAATAAATTGTCAGGAATAATTATACATAAAATATATTCAAATTAAGACTTCATTATATATTATATGAACATTTTGTTCAAAATAAAGTTCAATTTTTTTTCATTTTTTACATAACTCAATTTTAATATTTTTTCCCCCTCACACCTGTAATAAGTAAATAAATTGTAGCACATATAAGAGGGAAAAATATATAT